GGGCACTGCTGCTCTCCCCACCCGCTGCCCTCTCTTGGCAGGAATAGAAGTGGCAAGTGCCCGAGGGGCTGCTGAGGGCTTGGGGGTCCCTGGGCCTCCAGCGCTGGCCCTCGGGCGCACCTTCTTTCCAAACGGAGGAAGGGCGGCTCACCTGAGGCACCATGTTTTTGAAGGAGTCCATAATTTTGGAGCTCTTGGCTTCCTGGTAGTAGGAGAAGCAGCCGGTGACGATGACCACGGCTGCCAGCACCACGCCCAGGTACAGCTGGGAAGAAACGTTTGGAAAGAGAGGAGATCCGGGTGAACGGTGTGTGTGTGTGTGTGTGTGTGTGTGTGTGTGTGTGTGTGTGTGTGCAACCCCCTTCACAAACCTCCTTCCTTGATGCTTCTCCAACCAGGCGGCTGCGCTGGTACCCCAAGATGGTCTTGAACTGCAACTCCCAGCATGGCTCTCGGCTGAGCACAAGGGCTGAGGCTGCTGGGAATTGTAGTCTAAAGCACAACCACAGGCTCCTCAGTTGGGGATCTGGCTGCTTTTATACAGCGCAAAGCATAAACTAAGGAGTGAGGGGAATGGGTTAATAATAATAATAATAAAGTTGGAAGGGACCTTGGAGGTCATCTAGTCCAACCCCCTGCTCAGGCAGGAAACCGTATACCATTTCAGACAAGTGGCTGTCCAGTCACTTCTTAAAAACTTCCAGTGTTGGAGCATTTACAGCTTCTGGAGGCAGGTTGTTCCACTGGTTAATTGTTCTCACTGTCAGGAAGTTTCTCCTTAGTTCTAAGTGGCTTCTCTCCTTGATCAGTTTCCTGATCAAGAAATGATAGTGGCAGTGAACCAGGAAAGAGTGGGGTGTGTGTGGGTGTTTGTGTGTATGTGTGTGTTTCTCCTAAGTCTTATTAAGGTCCTATCACATCTTCCTCGGCTGGCATGGTCAACACTGAGGGATGCTGGGAACTGTAGTGCAGCCACACACCTGAAGGTCCTTTTCTGTTCATCCTTGCGTTGGACCAATAAACCAAGTGGGAAAGCCCTCCTTCGCCCTGATAGGTCACCCAGAGTGAGTCATGTGATACTCCCTGGCTGTGTGGGTGATCCAGCTCTTTTCCCCTTGACCTGCCAGAGTCCTGGGGGGGGGGAATGGTCAGTCTCAGGGAAGACCTTGCGTTGTTCTCTTTTTCTGCAGCCCCCATGCTGCCACCCTCTGCCCGTCTTCTAGAGCCGGTGGTCTTGGTGGCCTCGCCTCTTGCAGACCCATCCTGGAAAGGCGGGCGGGGTGGAGGGGGGAGAAAAGTCTTGAAAAATAAGACTAATAAGGGGCAAGTGGGGCTGAACAGCTGCAGCCTCACTGGACGTTCTCGCCTTCCCCGGAAGCCGCTGGGCTTTTATTTACAGAAATGGGTCAGACAGACTCCTAAGCAAAGTGGTTTGACTGTCGTGTTCATTCCTTCTTTCCCCTATGAAAAACTGGTTCAGGGAAGCCTTCCCAGGTGTGTGTATATGTGTGTGTGTGTTCTCCTTTTCAAAAAGAGACGTTTGTGAAGGATCAGGAGGCTGACTTAGCTTCTGACCCTCGCTGGAATTGATTTGCTGTCTAGTGCAGTGGTGGCGAACCTATGGCACGGGTGCCAGAGGCGGCACTCGAAGCCCTCTCTGTGGGCACGCGCGCCGTCTCCCCAGCCCCGCCTCCCCTTGTGGCCCCCTCCTCACCAGCAGCCTCCCTGGAGGAGAATCGCCCCCGGGGTGCGGCCCACAGGGAGCAGCGCAGCCAAGGACATAGGGACACGACTCCGCCCTCGCGCCCCATAGCGTGCAGATGATGCTGCGGGGTGTGGGCGGAGGGCGTGGCTGCCATGGTGCTGCAGGGCTGCCTGGGTGATCTGCTGGGGGCCATGGAGGCGGTGCGTGTCCCTGCAGGTGGGTGGGGCAGGGGGCTGGTGGGGGCGGAGCAGGCAGGGTGGGAGGCGGAGCGGGGGGGGCAGTTTTTGGGCACTCGGTCTCTAAAAGGTTTGCCATCACTGCTCTAGTGGCTCTTAAAGAGGGTCTCTCTCCCCCCCCCCCCGAGAAACGAATGTCTGCCTCAAAGGAATGAAACTCTCTCCTGCAGGTCCAGGACAGACAGTCCTGCCTTTGGCTGAGAGGGGCTCTTTCTTCGGTGCCCCCCTACCCCCACTTTCCACTCTGACCCCCCCAGTTCTCAGCACCAGTTCTTTGCCCCAGGAGCAAAACCTGATTGAAAATGAGAGAAACCCCTCCCCTCCAAAGGAAGACTCTGCCCCCCCCCCAGCTGTCCTTTCTCAGCCTCTGCGGAGGGATTGGCCGGCCCAGCGCTGAGCGCACCAAAGTTTGTTTGTCGCGCTGCAATCCTAGCCATGTTCCCAAATACGTGCAGTTGTTAAAAGCCATTTTTGGAGGAAAAAAACCACGAGAAGATTAAAAAATACAAGGCCTTAGGAAGTCCGGCCTTCGGGGGGGGGGGAGAGACAAATGCTGCTCCTTGGGGCTGCAGTGAGGGAGGGGCCGGTGTGAGGCTCCTCCGTCTGGCTGCCTTTTCTCCTGGTCTGGCTTTGAGCTGGATCCCGGTGGGATTCTCTGCTCTTTTTCTCAACTGCTCCTGCGTTGTCCCCTCGGTTCGGACGGTCTGTTCCCACAGCCCCACCTGCCCCTGAAAGAGCCTTCAGCTATTTTAGCAGCTGTTTTCCAAGCGGGGGGGGTGGGGTGGGCAGGGAAGAAATGGCCTGGTCTCGCTGCCCCCCTCCCCAGCTCAGAGGGAGTTGCTGTTTTGTTTGTGGAGAGGCTGAATAGTTTCCAAGTACGAAAACCTTTGAGGGTCAGACAGCTAGTAGAGCCTGGAGCCTTTGCAGCCCTTTGCTGCCTCCCCCCCCATTCCCTGCTTGTCCCCCCCCTCGCCCAGTGTGTCCAGTGAGGCATTGGACCTGCCAGCTTCGCCCTCCCCGGTCCTGCGTGCAAATCCAGCCTGTTCCACTCCGCTCAGCTGCCCTTCAGGGTGTTCATCTGGGGCAGCCTCTCCCCTTAGAACTCCCCTTTGGAGCAGCCCCCTCCCAGCCCCCCCAGGCGCACGGGAAAGTGCCCAGGGAAGCCCCCCACGCTGGGCGCTCGCTGGCGCCTGGGAACTCACGTTGTCATTGGCCGGCTCTTCCTCCATGACCGCCTGGATGCTGTAGGCCAGGAAGCAGAGAAGGGCCCCGATCCACAGGAGGATGGAGAACCCCCCAAACAGCTGGCGGCAGAACTTGACCCACTCCGGGGTGGTGGGCGGCGGGGTGAGGGCGTTGGGGCCATCCTGGGCCAGGATCTCGGCTGCCCGGGTGTTGGTCAAGCCCTGCCATGGCCAGGAGGAGGTCAAGAGAGCGGCGGAGCAAGGGGTGAATTCACGGGGGGGGGGGG